TTGTAAACTTTGTTATATATGTGTGTGGAGAGAGAGATCTTTGATTCGCTGTTACTTTCACTCCCTTCCTTTGTAAGATTTGTTATATATGTGTATGTGAGAGATCTTTCATCCGCTGTTACTTTCACTCCCTTCCTTTGTAAACTTTGTTATATGTGTGTGTGTGAGATCTTTGATTCGCTGTTACTTTCACTCCCTTCCTTTGTAAACTTTGTTATATATATGTGTATGTGAGAGATCTTTGATCCGTTGTTACTTTCACTCCCTTCTTTTGTAAACTTTGTTATATATGTGTGTGTGTGTGATCTTTGTCTTAGAGTTTGTTATTTGGAACCATTAGAAATTACTTCAAATATCTGAATTAATAATGAGCATTAAGACGGACTTTTCAGAAAGGTTTACACATTATACGGAAACATAAGTTAGGTCATGATATTTTTGTAGAAAGGTTACGATTAGAAAGGCATTATTAAAAACTGGATATTTTTTACTGGATTATTTCCGTGTTGACAGATGATCTACAGGGCCATAGATTTACTAAGAATTATAAACTCCGTAAACTATTGAATATATACCATTGATTAGATTTTAACGGCTTACTTGCTCTATGTTTAAAAATTCAATAAAGATCGTCGTTCAATACAGCCTTTCTTCCCCCTGTTTTGAAAATTGTCGTTCAATACGACTTTATTCCTCTTGTTTTGTAGATGGCTTAGAAAGTCTTCCGCCTTCAGTAAAGCAGAATACTTTCGAAACGTCGTCCTCTGCACTTGAGCTGCATAATTATATTGTATGTCACCAAATATATTTCTACAAGTGTTTCTCAAACAGGCAGTAGCCGCCCATCTCACAGTCAATTTAATATGCATACTGTTTGATGTTTTATCTGGCAGTATGTTATGTATTTAGTTGACTAGCATCGCTTTATACTCTGAAGAAATATTTCTATGATAATTTTAGTGAGAAGCCTATCACCATATGTCAGGGTTTTAAGTATGTATATGGGTGTGGGCTAAGGATTCTTCCACAGTCGGTGTCTGTGACTTGTTGACGATAAATTCGAACAGCTAACGGACAGCACGCATGCCACTTGTTTTAAAATAATATATTCAAAACAAGATAAACGTATGTACAAAACTTATTTAGACTATGGATATCACAGTTGTATTTTAAACACTATATAGTTTGTTATTCTTTTCAAAAGTCCACTTAGGCTGATTCAATTGCTTTAGAATCCGGTTGACAAGCCGAACTATTTTTCTCCATTTCTATCGCAATAGTATCTGTGTATAATTCACTTATGCTGTCACGTGAGTTACCGCAGTCGTATCCTGAACTTCAAATAATTGTCTCCTTTTCGTCAAAGTCCACACAGGCGGGTTCAATTAGTTTAGAACAATTTCTCACAAGACAAGTTATCTTCCTTATCTCTATCAAACTGTTAAACTCATTTTAAAATATCAACCATTAAGGCTCTTCACTCACACTAGGCTAACTGCACGTTTTCTGACTTTTCTTTGACTGAACTTTTCTTTCACTTGACTTTACTTTTACTCTGCTCCTATTCGTTTGGTCGCCGCTATTTATATGTTTATCACTGAAGCGTCTAGAATTTTCTATAGCCTCGACACCAATGAATTGCAAACACAATGCACGACTCTTACCGAGCTACGTAACCAAACTTGTCATAACTTTTCCTTTAAAATACTTAATTTTACCCCTCTTTTTATGAAAAACTAAACAATCATGAAATGTTAACTCACAAGATAAATTAGATGATAATGCCTACAATAAACAGTCTTGTATAACTAACACCATAGAATTAGCTTATCCTGCACATTTGTATTATCGATATACTAAATAAAGTAATAATTCCACGTCTTTTTCTTGTTTTGCAAGGGTACGTCAACTCAACCAATACCTGAGTGCTTCCAAGCAGAATCTTCATCGGCAGAAAAAAGGTGAATTTGGTTTCTACCTCTTCTTTAATACTTTCCTCACCGAAACTAAAAAGATGTCTGATAATTAACGAGTAATGTTCATAATAATAAGTACCTATAGAGATTATATGACGACAGTATTATATCTAAAGCTAATCATTACATAGTAATTTTTCATATTATTGTATATTTTTCCCGTGTTATTGTTGAGATACATGATGTTTAACAGTCATAAAACTAAAACGTCATATTCATTGTAAGCGATAAAGGCTTCCAAGTAAATTACTTGCATATTTAGGTCTTATATCATGTCAAAATGACCTGATTTTCAGTTACAAACGGAGTTGAATGATTAACCACTTGGTTTCAAATGGGTGTGTCTAAAGGAAAGGATTACGTATGTTTGTAAAATACCTTTTTCTGGCTTTAACCTCTGAATAATATTTCTACTTTTCTATTCGTAAATAAATAGTGTTCTTTAACTAACTTTTGTTCTTTCTTTATATTTATCGTTTACTTCCCAGAATGATTTTAGTTATGTTTCAGCTAGATTTTACCCCTAACTAGTGATGACCATGACTTGTTTTTTTGTATATTGAATCCACTTCTAATGGGCCTAATCGAAAATAATTTCAATAAATTTAAAGTAATACCAATTAAGCAGAAAAGATCTTGCCTTAAACACACCTAGTTGTTAGATGTTTCTGCTTGTTAAAACCTACATAATGGAAACATTTTTTGTTATTTCCTCTCATCTTTCATTTAGTTAAAAATCGGTGTAAAAAAGGTGCTATAATGAATAGACATGTATCACCATGTTAGGAAGGCGATACAAGACCATATACTGAAGTTTACGACAATTTCGTTCGCAAATCGGACTTCAACTACACGCTCAAAGGCATTGTAAAAAGTTATACAAAACTAACTTTCTTAAGAAACCATTTATCAACCATACTTTTTTGTTGGCACTATTTTCTTTAAGCCTTTCTTTTCTGAAAGATACTTTTTCGTCTTTTTGTGTGTGTGTGTGTTTTACAGTTACATACTCAAATAAAGTTCTTTATCAATGTTCTGGACATAGGCATTGTGTTAGGTTTGGTTTGTCTCGGTTATTAGTCCAGTGTTCCCCAAGGACTATCTGCGACATATTTTGAACTGATAACATCTGTCACCAACTCTTGGACTACTTTAATCAGATAGTGGAGTTTGATCGCTACTCCTATAATGGCCCTAAAGTGTAGATCGCTTTTTCTTGCGACAATGGGACGCAAACCATGGACCCTCGAATTCACATCTCGGCACGCTAGTTACTAGGCAAAACTCGGGCCAGTATTAGAATGGCGTTTGTTTTCTTTGGCAAAAGTAAAAAAAAAAAAAGAATACTGTTACCTTTATAATCTTGGCATTGATTAGTAAGTCATGAACAATGGTGTGTTATACGCAAGAGTCTATTACATTACATGTCAACGTGGTGTGATACTGTTTATGAACATACTTCAAGTTGTTTGATAATTATCACTATTAAAAACTTCATGTACGAACAACAACGATACTTGTGTAGAAAGGTTATAAAGGATTTTGTGTCCTGAAATGTACCCATGTTTTACGTTACCGAACCTAAATTGTTATGTTTATTAACATAAAAATAAGCTGACAATTTTATCCCACTTTACTTCTAATTTCATGACCTAAAATGAAAACACTAACAAAAGACCCGCCAAAAGAAGTGAAATTTTCTTCTAATTGTGTTTAATTCACAAGTTCTTAACCTGTATATATCCTGTTTATTTACACGACAGTAAAAAAATATTTAATTATTGAAGGTTGTTTTCAACCTAGAAATTACCGCAAAACTATCATTCGTAGCGCATCGTAATTTAAATAAATTGGTCTAAAAGTGTAATCTAGTATATTTTAGCCAAAATTTTGCGAATACAAAAAACACATGTAAGAAAACATTATGAAAAAAACTGACCACTCTGTTTAACTATTTTCATTTTTCACAACCGATAAAGCCATCGTAAGGAAAGGAATCATAACAGGGTTATATACCGACTATGAAAATAGTAGAGAAATAACCATTAATGATGATGCTTTGAGGGAAAACATCCACTACCCCTCTCCCAAAGAATATATTTGATGTGATGACGTATAAAAAGTTCAAAATAAAATAAATTAATGGCATTAATGATTATATTAGTGATATTAATTCTTAAGTCAACAGTTATTTTAACAATGATGATGGTGTTAATGACATTAGTTATGAGGAAAAAGATTGCAATAACAATGATGATGGTGTTAGCGACATTAGTTATGAGAAAAACGATTACTCTAACAACGATGATGGTGCTAGTGACATTAATTATGAGGAAAATTATTACTCTAACAATAATGATAGTGTTAGTGGCATTAGTTATGACAAAAATGATTATGTTAACAATGATGATGGTGTTAGTGGCATTAGTTATGATGAAAACGACTACTATAACAATGATGATGGTGTTAGTGGCATTAGTTATGATGAAAACGACTACTATAACAATGATGATGGTGTTAGTGACATTAGTTATGAGTAAAACGATTACTTTAACAATGATGGTGTTAGTGACATTAGTTATGAAAAACGATTACTTTAATGATGGTGCTACATTAGTTATGGTGTTAGTGACATTAGTTATGAGTAAAACGATTACTTTAACAATGATGGTGTTAGTGACATTAGTTATGATTAAAACGATTACTTTAACAATGATGATGGTGCTAGTGACATTAGTTATGAGTAAAACGATTACTTTAACAATGATGATGGTGCTAGTGACATTAGTTATGATTAAAACGATTACTTTAACAATGATGATGCTGACAGTATTGGTTAAAAAAAAACTACAACAACAAATATTTCTATGCAAGTAAATGGTTTCTTAAGAGAAATATGCCCTGGTGTGATAAGTATTCACATTACATTGATGACGGTTTCTAAATAAAAGAACTGGTGGAAATTGATAAGATTCCTTCCTGAAAAATACAATTATTCCATGAAGAAAATGACGTACTTTAAGGATGTATTTTCTTGAAGAACACCCAAATGGATTAGCAACTTTTCAAAAGATGGACAAGAAGCATATGATGTTAGTAAATAAAAAGGATTTGGTAATGCAATTCAAATGTTGTAAAGAAGAAGAAAAAACACCTGCTTTACTAAGTGCAAGGTTGTAGATTGGGTTATAAAATACGAATACGTCTTTTAATCAGAAATGAGATACAAGTAACTGATAAGGAGCTCATGAAGTTTGAGTAATTTTAGACTAACTCTCAAGGCTTAAGATAAATGTCATATGTGTATGTGTTTAAAACATGTTTGCGGATCCAGTATTCGTAAACTACCGTATATTCAGTTGTTTCTCGTTTTTGCTTTTGTTATTTTGTAACATCAGAAGCACCATTTTTATCCCGAAAGTATACTATTTGTCTTTCGTAGTCACACCCACCTGTCACTCACAATTGGTTTAGTCAATGATAATAACTGCTCAAATCCAATCATTTTTACACCAACCTTCCAAAAAAAAGAAACATTTTTAGAGTAAATACTCTTTTCTGACATCCCTACATCAAGGCACCAACTAAGGCTATTAAACCTTTTGATAGGAACATCACTTGAAAAAGGAGAACTGTGTAATACAAACACAAAAATATTTTAGAACGATCTAGTTAAAACTGATCGAAGGCTTTCTTTAATATCCACTTTCATATAGAGGTCACTGGTCACACAAAGAAAAAACCTAAACCACAAAAAGCCTTTTGATGAACAAATATTGGCTCGAAGATATGCATTTATCACAGAATTTTAATGCTAATTTCTTACAGTTGTATTAATACTTGATTTAACTTACTTCGTTTTAAACAAAATCAATATGCATAGTTGATTTAATTTTTCTTTAAAACTTTATTCCGGGTTGTGGTAATTACTAAAATGACTGAGATTAGTTTCAAGCTCCATTTGTAGTAAAAGTAGAATTAATCTGATATGATCAATGTTTTATGTTTATATTTATTATCGTATAGCCAAGGAAGCTGTCTTATATTTTAATTTATTTTTTACCCGGATCTTCTTAAAATTAAATCAATATATTCCAGAAGGTTCAGGAAAAAATAATTTGTTGGTGTTTTAAAGTATTGACCTTAATGTCAGTACTTAATATTGTTGAAAACTACAAAAATATCGGTAATTGAGTTAGGCTAACTTAAACATTTTTTTAAATTACAAGTATAAATGACTAAACATATTTTAAGACGGTTCATATCTAGCTCTGGAGATTTATTTTTATTTATTTAAAGGCTGCATAGCCTTTGAACGATCATACTGACTTAAATATGGCCACTAACTGGAAGAGTATTCATTCAAGTCCAGGACAAAACTATTTCATAACTTTTGTTTATTTGTTTTTTCTTTTTTGAGGTCCACTTTGAGAATGTGGTCCAGTGGCCACCACAGACTTAGTTCAGGGACAAGTGTCCAGCAAGTACGATCTCCGAGTCACAGGCCAGTCTCTTCGCTTCTTAAAGGAAATTCACGGAGACGCCTTCCTCGGGTCAAAAATGTCCTACCACAACCACCGCCACCTAGACTGTTACAAAATTCAAAAAGATATCTAAAAAGTATCTCAGTAAGTTTCCTGATTTAATGTTATTAAGTTTGTTAGAAGCTTCGTTAACAGATGTTTTATATTACTTATCAAATTTACAAAAATATCAGAAAATAGTGTCAGAGTCCCTAGAAGGTTAAGTTGATGTGAATGAACTAACAGTTAGTACCAACAGTGAAATATCAAAAATACATAAACCTTGAATGTTACTAAACTGTTAATGTCATAGTGATAGTTGCTAGGTAGAAGGTCAGATGGTTCAGAATACATCCATATTGATGGATCCTTGAATGGATGGAGCGACATATAAGAGATATTTCAGGTATCGTCAAATGGCTTGTTCAACCCAGGTTCAAGATCTTGGAAAACTGATGCAGACTGTTTTGAGAATGGCCAGCTTCAATATCACCATCATTGTGAAAGTTTCGTGAGCCTTCTCTCCTAAACTCATCTGTATTCATATAAACAAGACTCGTAAGAGCTCTGACAAAGTAAATTCTTATTACTAAGTGGAGTTTCGTCATCACCAAAACGGTGATGGCTTCATAATTATTTGGGCAATTTCTTTAGGCCTACAGGCTGTCGTTTGATGTTAACAAAGTCGTGATGGTGCATAATGTTTTAAAATATACATACCTTGAACAATTTCTTGTTCATCCGGAAATTATCTTCAGTATGTATAGCTATTGAAGTTGAAGGTACTAATGACATAAGTCGTAACAATAAGCTAATACCGGTTTATTTTATATTATCCTACTTAAAAAAAACCGTATGCCTTGTGCCCAGGGATTGGTCTCATATACAATGTCTATTAGAATAACTCAGTAGTCTGTGAAATATTATATTAGCAGTATATTTGGATCTAACCTGAACAAAGCTAAAACAAGTAGAAAGTAATGAACAAGAATCCTTATAATCCACCTCACACATATTCTTAAAACTGGGTGATTCTTTAACATATTCCACAAAACGAGTTTATAGTACGGAAATTAATTCATAAAAATTCATTTACTACAAAAATTCAGCTCGTTCTTGCTGTTCTTCATTCTCCGTGACTTACTTTTGGTTGAGAGCTTATTAGGTTAAACATTAGTTAGATGTGCAAAAACATTGATTTGCCATAATGTTTACCAACTTTCCCAAAATGATTAAACGAAGTCTTAAAGCTCAGTTAAATGTTCCGCGTGTCTCAATGTTAGCGCATATCTATAAAATATTTGTTTTGTCGTAATTGATATTATTGTACTCTAACCTGAATGTATAAACTATATTATCTATGATGAACAAAATTCAGACTTACTCATTCAACTTAATTCAGGCCATGCGAATAGCCAACACTTCCTAGTCAGCAATTCTATAGCTTAGCCCTTAATTTCATTATACTGAAAGTTCGACATCTTTATAATGTTATACTTTTACAATTTTACGATGAAAAAAAAGAGAGATACAATCATTGTCCAGTGTAGAATATATATAAAGCTTTATGAACAATTCTGATTAAAATTTAGCTCGTGCTACTCTCTGCGAAAGTGGGAAGCTTTCGATCAATACTATAAATTTTCAGCGCGTACTTTAATTCTTTACATTTGAGACGAAATTTCAAAGCTCACTAATATTGTTCTACTTCCACTAGAGAGGGCGAACTCAGTTGGCTCCAAAGCCAAGAAAAGCGATTGTTTGAGGTTTCGTACTCTTCCAAACAAATTTAAACCTTTTTTGTATTTTGCCTTCATAGTTGTTTAATCCCTTAAAATAACACTTGAACACCTAATTTTAGCCTTAATCTAATATATGGCGGAAGATACAAGCCTCTCTATGCCTGCTACTGTGTGATCAAACTCCACTGCTGCTTGGAGTCTCTTGCTTATAGAGACCGCCAATTCTTGTCTGCTGAACATTATTATCGTATTCCATTCTGAAACTTGAAAAAATCTGTTTGAACTACACTTCAAACTGCTTCAGTGTTTCTCTGTTTCCACCTGATAAATTATTTGTGCTGGATCGTCAATATTTCCATCCTCCAGTCTGGATTTAAAACAGGATGTAATTAAACAGATTTTCAACACGCTCAAGTTTTCATTTTATTTTACAAAGGAAGTGGTAGTAACTTATTAAATATCAACAAGGGAGAAGTGTTTATTTTTTTAGTCCCCACTGGAGTGATTTTTTATGTGTATATAAATTATACTACGTTGAAGGAATTCGTGTGTGTAGTTGACATTATTTGTACTTATCTCTCAGTAATATCGACTAGATTACCCTCTATTTTAAGTTTTATATCATGTAAATCTTCATTTTTGCCTGTAACGTGTTTTATTGGAATATTTTACAACTTTACGATGTTGGTTAATTTATTATTGGTTGGTTTTTCTTGCGCAAAGCTGCACAATGGACTATCTTAGTTGTGCTACATATTTCAGTGTTAAAGGCTCTCACGGAGCTAGGATTTTAGTATATAATTTTTTGTTATTGTTATTTCGACTACTACTACTGAGTTTTTATTTGTTCTGTCACTGACAGTTCCTATTTTGCTTACTTGCAGAGTTTAGTTTAGACATTAGAATGACCAACTCACTCAACCTTCACGTATTTAAATGGAAGACAAAGCAACCCTAGTGTATTTCATGCGAACAGAATCTTGCACTTTTTAAAAGTTGCAAATAAATAACAACTTAGCACACGCTTAAATAAGTAACAACTTAGCACACGCTTAGAGGCCATTTGAAAAATACTGGGCAAAAACAACCAAAGTAATACAGTGATTTTTTCTGACAATTGTTTTAACTTTTATTGCATACATAATTTATATGTTATCACAAAAAACTGAATTAGTTAATCTTATGCCCTTCATTGATTATGGCCAAAAGCATCACCTCCTGTCACTTAACTCCGATTGAAAAATAATTGTATGTGTATTGTATTAAACATACTTTTGTGACTTCAAATCTAAGATATATCTGTCATAAAACTCCCTTCTTCCTCTTCATTTTTGTATGGATATCAGAGTTGCCATTTCAACAATATGCCTCAACATATAAACAGTTCTCCGCTCCCTTCTAATGATTTATAAAAGTTGGACGTGGTCGTTTTGGGCATTTTTACCAATAACTTCTTTTCCTAGCGTTAACTTTGATTATTTTTTATTATAATTTTAATACTTTATTATTTATTGAACTATTTTGTTGTTTGTTAAATTAGCTTTTTTTTTATCTGCATAAACAGTCGTTTTATTTTATTTATTTATTTTTGCTGCACTATCTGTACCATCCCGCTAGCTGACTCTATAGCTAAACAGTCATTTATTTCAAATGTTCAGCTAATTTAAAGCTGTACAGTCTGAACTGTTTAAAGGGCTTTCTTTGGCCACTAGATATTATTAGGAACTTATACTGGTGTAACATAAGTCAAGGATAAAAAATCAGCGACGTATTGATGTATGAATCAAACAAGAAGTGTTTAGGTGTCTTGTATATAGTTATACTGCATTGATTAAAATACTTAATATGTATAATTTATTTATTTCTATTTATTTTATTTTTGACTATAAGGATTATTATGTATTGTTAGTTTATTATATAGACTTACTTTAGGACTAATCTGAGTCTCATAAGACAGCCAAACCTCATGAGATATTGTTGAGATTACGGCTAAAATCAATGTTTTAAAATCATGATAACTTTCTGTTTTAGAACATTATGTATTTTTGCTAGACCAGTATATTAAATTAACTACATTATTTACTGAGTTAAATTAATATCTTACTTTGATCAGAAGTTATTTTTTAACTGAGTTGAGCAGTTCTTTGAGTTTCATAAAGCAAAGCCTTCCTTCGAGCTCATTCATTTCAGATACAGTGACTATAAATCACAATAAAAGTCCAGTTTTGTGTATATGTCATCATTTGGTACTTGTACAATTTACTTTTTCTGTTTGAGTAATAAATATTCTTAGCTGGTTGGACTCTTGGTTGGTGCGTCTTTACGTGTAGCCCCCAGCGGCTCAACAGTAAGTCTGAAGGCTTATTTATAACGTTAAAAACCGGGCTTTGATGCCCGTAGTGGGCACAGACATATAGTCCATTGTGTAGCTTTGTGTTTAACAACAAATAAACAATACTTTACGTCTATTTTTTAAAATAAACTTTAAACTTTAAAAATGTGCTCTACGAATTCTAAGCTTGAGGTACTGCCCAGCACGTGGCGCATCCATTATTTTTTTTTGTCAGCATTTGCCAGATTTAAACTAATTGTCTATAACTCCAGCTTTAATGAATATAACTTACTACTACATAGGAGTTTACATTAAAAAATGTATCAACTAACTTATCTATTCATTACTAATTGACAATCTGTTTGAAAGCCAGTCTAAATAATTTCAAATATAAACTGTTTTGATAATAACTCGTTTCATCATTCATGCTAACTGAATACAGTTTTGGTAACAAATAGATGCTTTGCGATTCACTTTGCACACAAACACTTAGTATTTTGATTTATATCTTTTTATATTGAACGGATGTGCTCGTGATGAAGAATCAATGATGACATGGTACCCGTGACCTGTTTTGTATCTAAGTTTGATCTTGCAACTAAACATTCAAACATTAAAATTATTTAGATTCCACACTCCACCTCAAAATTTTGAGTTGTTCCAACGTTACTCCAGTTCGGTTCTTTAAGACAAGTGAGTAAAGGAATTATGATATTTGTACGACATTTCATTATTCCTTTTAGCATTTAATTTTCAATCTATTTAATCTGTATACATGTAAATAGTTTGTTCTACTGATTTCATTTCATTGAAGCATAGTAACTTACCAAATAGTTACATGCACAATTTGAGTATGTCTAGCTCATCAAAGTTCTTAATTTTTATTGTTCTCAGAAAAACCTGGCTAAGCCTCGACCACTGAAGAGTAGCTGCGCCCAAACAGACATTGAAATTTCCGAATTTACTTTAGGTAATTAAATTTTAATTAAAATTGTTTTTCCTTTTCCTATCTTGATAGGATTTATTTATTTACTTACGTTAGTGAGGTGTGAATGATGGACCCGCAGATCCACAGTCCGGCACACTGACGACTGAGTCCCGCTCAGCCCCACATTAAACGAAACTTAGAGTAGTGTGAATTTCACACTTTTTTTTTGAATGTGTGTAAGTATATGAACCTACGTTATACAGGTCTTATGAACTCTAGAGGGCGCTTCGCCCGTAGTAATGACCTCACTCGGTCAATCCAACAAATCGTAGAGACACTGACCAGTATATCACAAGCAAAAAAGTACAAAATAGGATTTAACGTTTCTGGCAATGAACTGCCCATTTTGTTGCTTAATTGGTTTGTTCAATGAAATTTACGCTTGATAGACTTGTCGGAATCGGCGTTCTCGACAAACACACACAAAAAAAACACTTAACTTTCACACATCAAAGAATGGTTCGTGCTTTTATTTTTTGTCAGCCATTCACCATTCTGGCACTATCTGTTAACAAAATCTTGAATAATGGTTTAGGCCAAAACTGGTAAAATTAGATAAAATGATGATACCTGTTAACACCTCACGAGATAAATGTACTACTGACACCATCATCTTTGGTTTAAATCTAGTTGATGTAATTGGGGATATAACAGAGTTTCTAGAGCTCTACAGATAGTTTATGGTAGCGGGGATATAACAGAGAAAATGTGAGTCGTGAGAGCATCTTCAAGGAAATCAGGATTTGAATTGGAAGTGACAAGATTAATCTATAAAGTGTTCGTGTACTTAGTAAGTTTTCTTTGTTCCAACTTACCACCTATTAAGTGTTCGTGTATTTGTAAGTTTTCTTTGTTCCATCTTACCACCTATAAAGTGTTCGTGTACTTAGTAAGTTTTCTTTGTTCCAACTTACCACCTTAAAATGTTAGTGTATTTAATAAGTTTTCTTTGTTCCAACTTACACCGATCGTGTGAAAACCAGGTATACTTTAAT